ATCACATAAACACCAAGGACACTTTAGTCCATCTGTTTAATTGGCAGCAACAATGAGAGGCAAACCTTCAGTTTTAACCTGCTCAGATTTTTTCCCCCAGAAACAGAGAAGAAACCAAGTGATGTAAGGTCATAGCTGACCTTCTCAGTGAAACTATTTTTGTCTTTGACATAGATACTCAGGTCTATAGCCAAAGTAGAAAACAGCAGATGCTTCAGCCGTGGGGGGTCAATACAGGGATTTGTCGGATGGATAGTCCTTCTGTTGCTTTTTTGTGCTTCATGTCTGATGGCTGAGGGCAGATTCACAGGCACCAAGCCAGGCTTTGCAAGATGGTTTGATGTTGCAATGGCAGGCAAATCTTGATAACGAGATGCGGTCCTAATTGCCCTGAGCACACTTTGATGTATCAATTTCATTCTAGGTGCATAAAGAAATCTTTATTTTTATAAAGCCTAAAATGAGCCTGCTTCCTGTTACTGGGCCTCTAATCCACTTTAATGATGCTTTATTTTGGAAAATTAGAGCACCGCTTTCACTTAAAATCACTCAGACCAGTGGTTTTCAACACAAAAATATAACAACAGGCTCAAAATAAATCTGAGGGTTCACGAAAAACAGAAGAAAGTTTTCAGCTTTTCACAGAGTTGATATCATAATATGGAACTGCGCAAATGTCTTGAGCCACCTCTCATTTCTTTCTTTTTTTCTTGTTTTTTCAGAAAAATGGGAAATAGATGTAGTTTGTTAAAAGATGCAAACACATGTGGAAATACAGTATAGTATTCTTATTCTTCTGAACTCTATTGGACAAGCTTTCTTTAAGTAGACATCAGGAATCGTTCTCCAGGCTTCTTGAAGGACAGGCAAAGCTCCCCTTCAATAATATCCAGGTATACCTTCACTGCACTGACATCCTGTTTGGGGTCATTTTCACACTTAAATTTGAAACTATTATGAGATAGTGGCCAGATGATGTCACCAACTGATCTCCTCTGTATCCACTTGGGAAAAAAATATCAAATTTGGATTCATCACCCCATAAGACCTGTTGGCACCTGAGACCATTGCTGATGAGGTTTCAGTGAGCAGAACCAAAAGTTTGCTGAGATATGTCAGGTACAAGGACTGGACTGGAAAGTGAAAAAGCAGCCAAAACTTTGAAAGACCTTCAGAAAGACTAGATGACTGTTCCTCAAGACCAAACGTACAAGAAAGTCCAGATCCTTGGAAATATTTTTAAAAAAGAGTGACGAATCAACACTCCTGAAGAATACTATATATTTATAATATATAAAAACAATATTTGACCTTAAACAAGATAGTCCAAAACCCCCAACTTTTACACATACCTTTATTTTATTGCACAATTGCAAATTATTACATTTTTGAAACTGTATTCCTTTAATGAAAATGGTGATTTAAGACTTCAGATATCAGTGACACATATTGCCAAGGAAACAGTAAGACTTTCTCTCATTGGTCTATAATAGCCAAATCAGTTTTTTATTAAAATGAAAAAAAGAAAAAATGAGTTGTGTTCTGGTAGCATATTTAAAGCTCAAACATCAGCACCTTCCCCTAAACTGAAAGTGCAGCATCAAAGTGACGTGTTTCTATGACATAATGATGCATTGCCAAACTTTTGCTCGTGACTAACCTGCTGTAGGTTGTCCAGAACTGGACTGAAGTCAGAATTCCCAGGGGGAAACCATCTGGACCAAACAGTCATTTCTATACATTCAGCAGGCTTTTTTTTTTCTTTCACACAGCACATGTTGATAAGCAGCATGGAGATCGTAAGTCACATGATTACAGCTTATATGGCCTGTAGATGGTGATTTTGTGAGCAGGAAAACAACAGTTAAAACTCAATATTATTCATTTATTGGATAAAATATTCAAATTTTCGGTATTTCTATGGATGTTTTTTTCTTTTTTTCCCCTATGATAGCACAAAACAGTACAGTATTGTGTACTGTTTTATGATCAGAGGGTATTGTCGGACAAATGAATAGTCTCAACTATACATACAATCCTTGGCAGGGTATGTATAAAAAAATTCAAGTGCTCTTTGATTGTTCAAGTACTATTTAAGCCTTTGTCATCATGGAAAACAGCAAGAAGAAGAGAAACCTTTGTGCCATTGCAACTTTCAATTCAGTTCAATTCAATGTTATTTATATAGACTCAAGGCGCTTTATACGCAACGTGATCTACTACTTTAAACTAATGCAGTACTTGCACGAAATGTACAACTGACTGCTATTTTATGAGGCAAAAAGTCACATTCATTGTTTTCCTTCCTTTATCATGTGTGGACAGCACTGATTTATTTCCATCCACCACAAAAGGTCAGTTCCAGTAACACAGATCAGATCAGACCCAGACGTGCATAAAATAGCGTTCAGGATTTCCCTCTTAAGGCAAAAAAAAAAAAAAGTTTAAAGAAAAAAAACAAAACAGCCAAATCCTCAAGAATTTGTGACGTTCACTTTGTTTCCAGAGCAACACTGAATAAAATCATGACTCATGTGTTTGTGCCTCAGGTGGAGAGTTTACACATGTTACAAAAATCCAGAGAGAACAGGTAGGATCTGACAGCTTTTGTGTTTTTGTATAAATTTACAATAATTTATTACTTAATCTATTAGCTGATGAACAGAAAATTAATCTACCACAATTTAAATAATAAATAAATATTAATTTTAGCTACAGTATGTGCAAAAGTCTTGAGCCACCCCTCATTTCCTTGTATTTGCTTCCATGGAGCCGGACTTTCTTGAAATCTTAATGGTCTTGATTAAGTTCTCCAGGCTTATTATGTCCTTTTTCACTCTTTTTCAGTCCAGTCCTTCAACCATTTTCAGAGGAATGTTTTTCTTTGTTTGTTAAGCCACTTAACACTGACCTATATGAATCATTCAAACAAAAACAGCACCTAACCCAAGGGATGAACCAGTCTTGTACCTACACATAGCAGATAACTTAATACACACATAATTAGTTGCCACTTCATTCGTTGAATATATGAAAAATGCCAGACTGTCGAGAAGTAATTCTTAAGGAAAGGAAGCAGCAAGGAAAGGCGTGGTCTTGTGAGTGCGTACAGCCATCTGTGAAAGATGTTGGAGACTCTTTGATGGTTTGGTACTACATTTCAGCCAGTGGTGTTGGGGATCTTGTTAAAATTGATGGAAATATGAACAAAGATTTCATCACTTAGAGATCATCAGATTTTGATCCACCATATAATACCATCTAGAAAGTGTCTGCTTGGAAACGGCTTAATTTTTCTGCATGACAATGATCCCAAACACAATCCCAGTGCAGCGAAAACATACCTGGAACACTATCAGTTGAGGATCAGCCTCCCCAGAGCCCGGACACCAACATTATTGAAGCAGTGTGGGATCATCTTGACACTGAACAGAACAAAAGGGAGTCAACAACCCAAAAGGAAATTTGAATGTTCCTCAAGAAGCCTGGAGAACTATTCCTGAAGACTACATAAAGAAATGAGAAGGAATTCTGCTTTAGAGAGTTCAGGCTGTTTTAAAGAATCAATGTGGTCATTAGCAAAATCTGAGCGAGAGACTCTGTTTTTACCCTGTTTTCTATATTACATTTGCATGTTTCAATAAATTTCTGCATCCATCCAAAAATCAATAAAAAAGATTTTAGTGCTTTTTTTTCTTAAATAAATGAAATAGCTTAAGAAGTTAATCATCTATTGAAGCTGCTGGAAATAAACTGAGTGTGACATCGCATCATGTTTCCCACAGAAAAATACACCACTAAGCACCAAACTCGGTTCAGAAACACAGGAAATACTAGCTGAGGGTGGATTTTTCCTTTTCCATCAATCACCCAGGCTCAGCCCATTGTGACATAATTGTCTGTGATTGGCAACCAGCTTATTATCCACTGTACCCCCTGCCACCTGCCACTCCAAGCTGCTGCTCAAATAGCCTGCTTCTACTTTTTGATCCAGAGGTGTGCTTCATATCTGTCTTAGATCTTAGGTTTTTGGCTTAGATCTATTCCCTTAATTCTAAATTACTTCTCAGTGGCTCAAACATGTAAACATTAAAACAATTCTTTTATTTAATCAGTGTAAAAAATACAACTTGTGGTTTAATGGGAGGTGATTACTTGGCTTGGCACATGAACTAAAAAGCTGTTCACAGCTTGACATTTAACACTTTTTCGTTTGTACAAAAAAGTCAGTGAAACAGAATGCTTGTTAATAAGTGAGCTTTAGGGGGTAAAAAGGTATCAGCGTTTTAACAAACTCCTGCCACTTAGCGGGTATCTTGGCAATGTCACCAGGTGTTTACTGTATTTGGAAAATTATCTGTGTAAGTCTCGATCTAAACACACAGGAGCTTTGATTTTAATGTTCACGGGGACATGAATAAAGCACATATAGAAAGTTGGCAATGCTCCTTTTTGATGGGGCTGTTGGAGTTCTTGCTTCTTCCCACAAGTAATTTTTAAAATAGTGATTTCAGTGTTACACAACTAATCCAGTTGAGAGCGTTTCGCTCAGTGCTGATAAGTGTCTACTTGTGATCACCGCACTTATTTTCAAATGGATTTTTTAACTGCGCTTGAGATGTGATTTATTTTTTAACCTACCCACTTGTCACGTTACATAATTTAGTAGTGTCTGTGATGCACCTGTACTTTGGGCAAAGAGCCCTAGAAGTCTCATAACACCAGGGGCAGCTACACATGAGTCACATGAAATTTCTGGTATGTATCAGCTTTTCTGAAGCTTTGACAATCACGATTTGTTTCAGGGCGACATAAGGCAACTGATATGAGCCCAGTCACAAACACCATGGTGGAAAAAGTCCAGAAAATCATCATGATGCGTGCCTATCAAAGGAAAACACTGACCAGCTACAACATTAAGAAATAACCCCTGAGTTGAATCAGCACCTCTGAGATTATTACCAAAAACACAAAGTTTAGCTTTTGAGAGCTGCTGACTGACAGGTTTTAATCATTTATTCATTTTTTTATGTCACCCTTTCACTGTGCCACCGCTCCGAAGCCTCTGCTCTTACCTACACACTGCGCAGACGTATTGTTCATGTGCAGCTAACCAGATCAATTTCGACACACCTACAGGATTCCTCAAAGCATACTGGATGCCCTCGAATAACACCTCAGTTAAAAACACTGTGATGTTGCTCAAATATATATATTTGTGTTTACAGTACTCTATGTGCTTTTTTTCCCTTTTTGCACGTTATGCTTCTGGATTACTGGGATTGTAGCACCACAAACATCGACTTGCAGTCATGTCTTTGCTGAGGACTGCCAAGTATCTGCTGCCCACTTGGCAGTTATAGACAAATTATGCTGTAATGAAATCTGTTGTGCTGAAAAGGCTACACGGAGCTGCGTCTCTTAAACATCCTGAATGGAGAGAAAATGTGTAGGCCTGATATTGGGCTTATGCTCGTGCACTGACGTGGACTGCAAACGCAGCCTGTTGAGCCAGGCTCCATGTAGTGAGCACAGTCATTGTTCTGCTGCAAGTAGGCATCGGAGAATGTCATCTCCTGAGGGATCATGTTGGGTATGGAGTCCTGCTCCTTCTCCTCGCTCCTGTACCATAAGCAGGAGCAAATAGTCTGGAATTGAAGCACTTCAGTGTAGACACCTTTTAAATCTTTAGCCTTTGTGGTGTTATCTGCTACAGGTGTGGAGGAAGCTGATATTGAGACTGGTAACAGATGAGCCACCTCTCCTCTGGGCTTACTGACAGAGAGCAATGCCTTCTCCTTGGCGTCCCTGCGTTCATCCTCAGTGTTCATGGTCAGGAAGCGAAGCACCACCAGGTTTAGGAACGCTCCAATCACCGTCAGGCCCGTGAGGATGTAAACAAAGCAGAAAGCCACATATTTAGGGTCATTCTGCAGGGCCTCATTCTTCTGCAGAGCCACGTAGTCTCCAAAGCCAATAGTGGTGAGTGTAATGAAGCAGTAGTAGAAGGCATTTAAAAAGCTCCATCCCTCCGAGTGAGAGAATGCCACAGCCCCCACGCACAGGGTGCTCATACAGGAGAAGAAGCCCACCGTCACCATGTTTGCCATGGAGACCTCGGTGTGACGCATTCCCAGGCACTTCTTGGCTTGGTGCAGCAGGTATCTGACAAACGTGTTGATCCTCTCGCCCAGACTCTGGAACATGACCAGGGTCAGCGGGATCCCTAGGAGGGCGTAGAACATGCAGAACACTTTCCCTGAGTCGGTGCTCGGCGCCGCGTGGCCATAACCTGAGACAGGGAATATTGCATATCTTTAGACATCTTTGCCTCTATTCTTTTGCCGTGGTGAGTCATAGCAAGAGACGGCCTCACCTAATATAAATGCCTAAGAACAGCAGCTGCTTGATTTAATTCCACAGGAAACCAACACACACTCCCACTAAGAGAAAAAGGGAAAGCCCAGGGAAACGATTCAGCTTGGCATTAATGTAGTGAACTTACTTCTACTTTATTTATAACTCGCAGATTGTTGACAGCATAGACATTGCAATATTTATAAATATAACTTATGCTGAAGTGAACCAGAACCAAAGCCATAGACATCTCCATATCTTTTCTTCTTCATATGGCATCATTAAATGATCTTTTTATTCCATAATAAATAATTAAATTACACCTGGTGTTGTTTTGTCTTTAATCATCCAAGAAAGCCACAATGGCATACAATTATTCTGATTTACTTAGACAGTCATAATAACGATTCAGTGTCCATGTCTCTGTGTGTCTTAGCTATTACATTTGAGATAAATATCACTTTTCTGATTGGTAAGCCAATTACAGCCACTCTGAAAATATAACTGAAAGAATAAAGATCTGCTGCACAAAAAGATGCTTTTTTGAATAATGTTACCTACCCAGAAGGGATGAAAGCCTGTAAGCAAAGCTTCATTTTGTTCAAGAATATTAAAGTAAAATTCAGCGTTGATGAGCACAGCAAACACATGAAAATTTTGGGGTTATTATAGGATATGTCAAGTCTGATCCATTTCCAAAATGTTTCCAAATAAACTGTATAAGGCATGAGAAGAAAATAGGTTTTTTAATCATACTATCAAGGTACAACCTCCTCATTTAAAATACAAACTAGCAACAATGTGCTAACAAGTGAAGGTTTAATTTTTCCACTCTTTTAGGAAACAGAATCTTCAGCTTTAAAAATGTTTTAAATTTTTTTTTATAGTGCTACAGACAGGATTTTCTTTGTCTAAGTAGTTTGAAGAGACCCCAGGAATTGTGGGAAGTCATAGGTGTTCTTTATTTATCTGTTGTTTTAAATGAGACACACAAACTAACGTAAGGGGGGCTCCGGTGACTCCACTACCTCTAAAAATGTTTCCTCCGGCCCTGCGCTGAACATCTCTCAATGAAATGCAATAAGACATCACATGTATTGATTAAATAACTGTTGCTCACCTATCGTCGTAATCACAGTGATGGCGAAGTAAAAGGACCCAGCAAATTTCCACTGGACCCCTGCTTTGTGAGGATTGAGCTGTAAAACGACATGCTCGAGCTCTTCGAAGTTCTCTTTGGTCAAGTTATATTTGCGCATGAGTTCGTACTTTCTGGCGTCGAGCTTCCTCTTGTGACTTTTCTCCTGCTTCGACTCCAGGGTCTCGAAGACGGCCGCTCCGACCACCAGGTAGGTGAGGATGCTCATGATGAGGGCGAGAGTCCTGGCGTTTTGTCTCTTCATGATAATAAGGAGAGGGGGAGAGAAAAATCGAGCGCAGGTGGGAGCTGAGGCTCTCTGCCACCTTCTCCTGACGGACTCCGGATCCAACAGAGGGGGGACTTTGGAGAAGGAGCTGTTCTCTCAGCACCACCCCCACATCACAGTTGGGTTGCTACTGTATTTGGACTATTTGTCACCGACTTATATTTAGATTGCGCAGGAAAGGAACACAGGGCAATCCCACAGACTGTCAGAGGCGGCTTGTTGGAGTAGCAGCTCCAAGCAAAAGCGCTCATCTTCAAGGAGTTTATGCACTAAATATACAAAAGCACGGCCAGCCTCCGTCGTTGAGGCCAGAACGAGCACATTACTCCAGTTTCCAAGAAGAACGGTAGCGCCGAAAAAAAGATGGAAGAAGAAAAAAAACAACTAAACTTGATATCCATGTGATCGTACACGTAAATATTTACCTAGTGGCTATTTAAACAGACCGGCTCTTCTGGTTCCCAAGTTGTCTAGCAACCTGACGATAACCGTTCTGTGCAAATATTTTAAAAAAAGCGCATTCTCCTCACGGTGCGCTGCAGGATTCTTCAGATCAATTAAGATTATAAGAAAAAAATCCACAGGGGAAAAAATTAGAATTACTATTTGAGAGTAAAGAAGAGGTTCAAAGACAGACATAAGATTTCTAGTCGCCTATTATAACTTAACTTACCTAATGGTGGTTCACTATAAGGACGTCGGACCAATCCATATCAGAGGTGGAGACAGATTAGAAAAACTTCTTCACCAGAGACATTCTGGGTTGCAACTTCACAGGCTACTAAAACTCCTATATACGTTTTAATATATTGTGCTCCTTTTGAAATCTTGACATTTACACTTGCTTAAAGCTGTGTGTTTGTGTTTTATTGTATCTTATTAATTTAGGTAGCTTATATCAACTTAACTGCCCCCCCCCATTTTTCTGTTTCTTGTGTTTCAGATAATTTGGATGACTATAATCGGTCATTGTTGTATATGATGTTTTTTTTCTTCTCCCCCTATTTTCTTCTTCTTTCTTCTTTTTCTGCTTTCTTCAGAATTTAATCTTCACTGATTGTATCATCATTGCGTCACACCCTGATGGAGACTTTTTAGTCCTCGTGCTGTATTGCTCCAATTTGTTTTTTAAATAAATATTTTTTCATTCAAATCAATTGGAATGTTTTGTCATATGCACAACAATGCGTCCTTTCAGCTGCATATGTTTTGACCTGTGACAGCAGGGAGCCTCAGTTTCCTCAAACATCATCACAGGGAGCCAAAGTTGAAAGCGGGCATCACTTGAGCTTCCTGTCTGTGTGCTGCACTCACATCAGCATGTTTCACTAAATGGTGAAAGTTACAGAAAAGATCAAATTCCACTTTTCACTAACGCAGCTATTAAATCTTTCTAAATGCAACTTTTATCTCTTCCTCACACAGACAATAATGGAGAAGAATCATGCAAATGATGACAATTTGAATATTTTTCAAGTTTTAATGTTTAATGCCTGTAATGACACAATATTCAAGAGATGCCATAGCCTCATAAAAAGCTTTTTTCCTGCCTTCATTTTCTCTTCTGCCTAAAAGTACAAAGCTGCACAAGGTGAAGTTTAATTAATTCCGAGTTTAAGGTCTTCTCGCTGACTTTTCTTTGGTGTTTTTTTTAACATGTGTTTCATTTTTAATGCCGAACATTAAAAATGCTTCTGCAGCACCGGAGAACATTTTCAAACAACAAATGGAGAAATAATAAAAGATGTAATATAGAAACCATTAAGCTGCTTCAGTTTTGGCCTTTTTGTCTTTTCTTGTCTTTTTGTCTGCTGTATCCTGTTCACTGTAAATTAGATGCTCTAGATCTGACCTGAACACAAACAGGACGGCGTAAGAATACATTAAATGTTCCCATATGGTTAAATAAAGTAACTCCAATAAGTAAATTCTGAAAATCATAAAAACAATACATTTGAAGCAGGAGAGATTATGTAAGTATATTAATGAAATAAGTTGCACTGTTATTTACACAAATAAAATACAGGAGAACATGACGAGGAGGGCCAGACCACCAGGAATATTCATGAGTAATTATGAATTAATTTGCTGTGAGTCTCAGTTTTATTTTATTGCAAACTGAGATTCATTTTGTATGACAGCATTACATCAAGCTTCTTGGAACACAAGTGGGAACCTTTCTACACTTTGCTGACATTTCTTTGGCAAAACTATCAAACAAATAAAATAAAAAAGATCTTTTTTTAAGCATCAGGCATTCATTTAAATAAATCAAAATTTAACCACTTCAGTTTGTTACAGTAACAAAACTGCAAATGTAAATTGCAACAACTACTGATTAGTTATCATAAGATATATAAGTTCTATAGTACCCCTAGTACTAGCTTTGTTCATACAGTATATCTGGTCTCCAGAGTGATGCACATCAGCATTTTAATGGGACTAAACAGCACATTGGAAACATTTGAGTGCAACACAAAACAGAATAGAGCAAAAACAACCCACAGTGCCAGTTTCAGCCAGCAAAGTAAAACTCGTGCAGAAATTATTACACAGATCAGCTCCATGCCTTTTCTGGGTGTTTGGGATCACATTTGGCTTCAGTTATATTAAAATGCTGAACAAGGCCTTCACGAGGTATTTGTGAGAGAGCTTTAGGTCTCTGGCATTTCTACAAGGCCTCAAACTCATCAATCCTCTGCTTGGTGTTGCCCATACGGATCTGACGGAGGGTCTTGTACTTATCACGGCCAGCGCGGACGTTCTCGGCATGGAGTTTATCGTCCTGGGTCTTCTTGTTATCGTCTCGGGATTGTGCTAGCTCTGAGCTCAGGTCCTGCGGAGGAGTCGTGCCCAGTTATTAAACTGTATACAATTCACTTCATCAACAGATATCTTGGCAACACCTCCATTAGAAAGTGATATCTTTAATTTAATCATCTTGTTCTTTTGGCTGTTCCTTTTTGGGGTTGCCACACTCGATCATCTGCCTCCATTGCCTCACTATATCACTTGCATCCTGCTCTGTCACACCGACCCTCTGCCCATTCAGGTCACTCCCAATGAAAATCTTATCGCCAGCTCTTTTTGTCAATGTCACCATCACCTTAAACCATAATCATACCAGGTTTTACTACCATCTTGTAAACCTTCCTTTTCACTCTTGCTGCAAATTCCCCCTGATACTCATCTTCACCCACTCCACCCTGCCCGCACTCTCTTCTTCACCTGTCTTGTGCACTTTCTGCTGCTTTGAATGCTTGACCCCCAAGGTATTTAAACTCATCCACCTTCACTACCTCTGCTCCTTGCTTCTTCTCTATTTCAACTATCTGTCTCTTGCTCACACATGTCTCTCTTCTGTCTCTCTTCTACTGCTCTCTCCAGCCCTTGCCTCCCCTCTCCAGGCTCTTTTCCTGAAATATTACAAGAGAGGGAAAAGAGCCTCAACGAATCGTGATTGAAAATGTGAGTGAATTCAAAAGCCTCAAAGATGATGGTAGAAGTATTATCCATTAGAAAAAAAAAACTTTTAAAAACCTTATTTTGGGGCAAAGTCACAGATAGTTTTAAATGTTTATGTTCGAGTGAAGATTGAATTTAAAGTTAACTTTGATAATGCCTCGATAAACTCTTCCAAGAAAGGTGCTCAGGTGCCGAGTAGTGAGACTTATTTCTAGAACAACATTATTTGGGCTTCTATAATAGATGCTTAAAATTTCATGGCTTTTTTTAACACAGCATATTTTTGCTATAAGTGTTTTGGAAGCTATAGAAAAGCTACGAGAAAAAAGTGTCTTAAGCATTGCTGCAGACTCCGGCTGATCTGGGATGTATTCCAGGTCCCTGAACTAACCTGAAGCTGCTTCTGCAGGCGCTCGTTCTTCTCGGCCTCGGTGAGTCGCTCCTCCTCCTGGCGGTCATAGTTGATGCCTTGTGTCTGCAGCTCGGCGCTATAGGTGCTGTTTTCTTCGCTGTGCTCATGGTCACTCTCGCTGTCTGAGGAGGAGGAGGAGGAGGAGGAGGAGGAGGATGCATGCTCAGCAACAGGAGCTGAGTTGGCAGAACTCATCACAGTGTGCAGCTCCTCCTTCGTTTTCAGCAGACTCTCCTCCACTTCGACAGCCTAAAAGGAAAGGTGGGGAGAGGCGTGTGTTAGATTTGCTGGTGGTTTGCATCATTGAGCATTTGATTATAATATAAATGTAGTATTTTAAGTGTTTTAGTTGTATATATGTGACAGTAATACCCAAATTTGCAAGGACATTGACAAATCAAGCTTTCTGGTTTTTGCAAACTTGAACCTGCCTTTCTGACCTCTCCACTAAAACATGGCTCCTGAATTTATACTTTCAAACCAAAGCAATCTAATATGAATAAGATGCAAGGGTTACAGTACATGAGTAGTTATGTTTTTGAGGAAGTATGCAATGTAAATTACAGTGCAAAAGATTCAAATTATGGATGACTTATACAGATAAATCGTTTTCTTTCTTTTAAACAATAAATTTATATTTGATATTGTGCTGGGACATTTTTCTGGTATTTCCTGTGACTTGTGGAGCTCTTGACTGCATGCTGGAGACCCACCTTGTTGTGCCATGTCTCAGCCTCTTCCTCCTTGGCTCTCTTGGCCTCCTCCAGCGCAGTAATCTTGGCGCTATATTCGGCCAGCTCTGCAGCCTGAAGGAGGAAGCACAACACTGTGACGTGAGAATAACAGAATAGGCATGCTGTCATTTTAGAAATGTGATGAAAGCAAAAGCAAAAAACCTCCGTGTTACTTTAATCTGCCATTAGAACAGCCGATAAGTGCTTAGAATGAATTCAGGAGATTTATCAAGACTTTTTCCCTCATGTGCTTCACACTCACCAGCTGCTCCTGGCTCTTTAACTGGTCCTCAGCTTGCCTGGCCAGCTCCTCCTTGGCTATTATAGCCTCCATCCTCTCAGCCTCCAGCCGGGCCGCCTCCTCCTCCACCCTCCTCCTCTCCTCCTCCAGCCTCATGGCCCGGTCCAGCTGCTCCTGAAGCTCTGCGTGACAAAGTCAGAACACGGGGAAATCTATAAAGCACTGTACGTTGTTATAAAAATGCAGGATAAGAAACTCAAAACTGATTTGTCTTAAATCTGGGTACTTTCTTTTTTAAACATTTCTATGTTAACATCATAGAAAAAAATGATTAAAGTTACAGGGAAAAAAGGAAAATACAGTACTATTAAAATATTTTGGTGGTTCCAAAACTCTAATAAAGGTTTCCAAAATTAAATTTTTTTTTCTTCTACCTCAATAAACATAAAGCAATATTTTTGAGTAAGTCGCAACTGAAATATTTCAAATCAAAGGTTTATGTATTTTTTATAAATAATCGTTTACGAAAATGTTTTAGCCATCTAGTCATCTGACCAGGTTCATGCCAAATTTTTAATCATATTTATGTAACAAAATTACATGGAAAATAAATATGTAATAAATTAGTTAAAGTCATCCTTTTTAGAAGAGTTTTATGAATTAATTTTATTATTATTTTTACTGCACGTCTTCATTATCATAAGACATCAAGGTTGTTAAGATCATAGAAATATGAGCCTTGTGTTTTAGATTTTAAAAATGATTTGAACGTTTTAAATGCTAAATGCCGATGATTGGGGAAAAAATATGTTAACTGCAGATATTTAAAGAAATGCTTTTTGTGAAGATCATATGTTTGACAAAATTCGCCCAACATAACAAAGTTGCTTTTCAAGTAACGATCTCCCATCCTCCTCACATCTTTGTCAAACCATGTTTTGAAATCTGCCCTTCCAACTCTCAAATATATATTCCACCATATGGGGGAGAAGCAAGGGAGGATGATGGAGGAGGGGGTTTTACCTAATATGGTGGTGGGCTTTTTACCAAATGTCAATAGTACTTTTGAGAAAAGGGTTTTCTGATCTTCTTCTTAGAATATATACAGTACTGTGCAATGACGGTTGAAGTTGGGTAGTGGAAGAGCTGATATAGATGTGGCATTTATGTTTATTTTTATTTTTGAGAGCAATTAATGATTAAAATATCCAGGTTTTACAAAAAAAGCCCCGCCCCAAAAAGTAAATTAACCAAGAATGAAAGGTTCATGTTTATAATGTGGGACACCCTTTATCGCTTTAGCTCACATATGTAATAGTTTCTATCAAACAGTGTGAACTTTCAAGTTGGAACCCTGAAGTGGATGGATGGATGGATGGATGGATGGATGGATGGATGGATGGATGGATGGATGGACGGATGGATGGATGGATGGATGGACGGATGGATGGATGAATGGATGGATGGATGTATAGTTAAGCCGTAAACCTGTAATAGCTCAAATCCTCAAGGTTCTACAGGTGTTAGCAGATGGTTAATAAACGGTTTAATGTGGACTACTGAGAAAAAAATCAGTGAAATCTCCTTTTTCATAGCACTATACAACAGATAAGATCCGCAGCGATGCAGCTTCTACGTCAAATTTTCTATCTCACCTCTCTCTGCTCTCCTAGTTGTCTCTTCAAACTGGTGGAGCCTCTCCATCAGCTCCCGCTTTTCTCTCTCCATCTCCTCCTTCTCCCTCTCGATGGCCGCCCTCCTCTTCTTCTCGCTCTCCAGCTGATCCCTGCAGAACACGGAAAAGCTCAATCGCACGCCTAACGCAAAGCCTACACATTTCAAATTCCAATTAAGTTTGCCTGCATCATTTTAACCGGGCGCTTAGCTTCACCCACCTCTCCATCTTCTTCTGCTGCCTCTCCTGTGTGGCCTGAGCCTTCATCTGCTGAACCTCGATGGTGTCGGGCTTGCGGCGTCGCATGTACAGTTCATGGTTGCCCATGCACAGCTGCAGGATGCCCTTGTTGACTTTAAGCCGTGGAGCGTAGAATACAAAGTCCTTTAAAAGACAGAAAAGTAGAAGACAACTTTTTTTTCTTTTTCAAAAAGGGCTCCATAAGCTTCGTTTAAAATCTCTTGGTATAAAAAAGCTGTTTGATACTAGTGAAGATTATTAAACTCATAAAACACTTACTTGGGCTTTCTTGTCTATGGGCTTGATAACAAATTTCTTATCATTGAAAGAAATGTTTCTAATTTCACTCCAGGGAAATCCAATCTTCGGAGTCAGCCTGAAAAATGGATAAAAAGAGATATTTTTCACAGTGTGATATGAGCTTTAAGTTTGTTTCTTTAAAAGGTTCACAGCTGGACAGGTTGACCCATGCGGTATCAGAGGAAGAGGCTGGGGAGGGTTTGTAGGTTCATGTTGTAGTAGAATTGGGTCAATGACCTCTTCAAAGCAACATCCATATAGTTAGATGCGTTATTTAAAACCAGCCACTGAAAGGAAAGTTGACACACGCCTCCGACTGAGGTTTGACCGCTGGTGCATTGATCTCCTGTCTACAGATGTGTTTTATCAGGTCAGCGCACAGAACAACGTTACAGCAAACAAAAGCAGGGACAAAACAACAGAAATACAGAGAGAGAGATTTACTACAAAAACTGATTTACTTGTCGTTCTTTGCATAAATGTTGAGGCCTAGAGCGTCGACTCCCAGGAGCAGGTCTGTGCCCTTCTTGTTCTTGATGTCAAAGTAGTTAATGCCATACATCTCAAGATCCTGGGTGATCTTCAGGTACTCAATCATGGCCTCTTCCCTGTTCACATTAGATAATTAAATAAAATATTAAATATTCAACAGACTAATTTGTCTTTTACTTTATTTTGGGGGGTTTAAAGTGTGGCGGCAAACCTCCACCTAATAATCCATGTCCCTTATTAACTAATTAGAACCAAAAAAAGCAAATAATCATTACAACAGAGTGCGTGAAGCTTTTTTGGGCATCAAAAACACAGCAATGAGTTATTTGCTGCTGAATTTCTTTTTCCTTTATGCTAACACGGTTACACTGCAGCATCTGTAAAAGCTGAGTGATCATGAGTACGATAAGAACAAAGCCTTCTAAGTCTACTTTACTTTACTGCTTGTAAAAGTTCACTGACTACAAAACTCCAGGACGCTGTGAGACCAAAAATGCTGTTCATTCTTAAAAAGTAAAGTCCTGAAAGCATCCATTTGAGGGAGGAAATTTACACCACTCAGCCTTCACTTACTTTAGCATCGCTCCGTGCTCCTGGTGCCAAACCTGGATTCTCTCCTCCCACTGCTCCCTTGACAGCTTGTGTTGGTCCAGCACTCTGAGGGGAGCAGCAAGCTATCAGCAACCCATGCTGGTGAAAATGTAAACAGTCTGTGTATACATACAGGGTTAAAGCATACACATGATGCATTGTTGTGTCTTTCCCGGCATCCTTTGTCAGGAGCCGAAGGGGCATTATCACACATTGGTTAATATTTCGATAATTCGGGGAGGCTAGTAGCCAGGATGAGTTCCAGATTTGCTGTAAAGGAAAAGAGGTCATTTATCCAGAAGACTATCATTTATGATGCGGCTGTTCTGTCATTTTATGAGTGCAAAGTTGATGCAAAAACTACACCAATCACAGATAAATGGTCCTAATCTTCTTTTAAGTGCACTCAGCAAGGTAAAAAGACAGAGCCGCTTCATCCATGTGGTCATGTGTTTAATTTTAGAAAATAATCAGTTCACTAACTTTTAGGGGAAATAAGATGATGAATGACAAATTGTATTTAAAAAATGTGCTACTGACTATCAGAGTAGCTGATGTCTGAGAATTATTTGAGAGAATAACACTCGTAGTAATAAAACTGTGAAAGCCAAATCTAGTTGTAGCGTTAGAGGAATTTTATCTACATTTTGGAACGTCACAATTGTAAAGAGTTCCCGTAGGATAGATGCGGTGTTAATCTTTCAACTCAGATCACTGCTGCATAAATCTGCCCTTGCAAAAAAGCAGTAAAGTTGTACTGAGTTGCAAAGAACTGATTTCCTGCTCACCAATGTGCAGCTGCTGCAGATCCACTCGCACTCACCTCTTGGGCAGAAGACGCTCAGAGGACATGTAACGTGGCTTGTGCGTCGACTTGTTGTACTCGCCATACTTTGCCTGGATGGCGTAGGAGCCCAGCAGCACGGCGGTCTCTGGAGGGCTGTAGATCTCCTCATTCAGAATCGCCTCCTTCACCTGGAGGAAGAAGAGCCTCCTGGTGATGTCCTGGATCAGCTCCTCGGCTGCATCCTCAGGGTAAAACTTGACCAACAGCTTGAACTGCAGGGGAGTCTCTTTCTTCACTTCCTGAGACATCACCTAGAGGGGCAATAATTAAAGAATAAAATATGATTGAAGTTCCTACAGCAGAGTAGTAAAGACAGCTAAATAAATAACAGAGTGTGGGCAAGAATCCCGTAGAAAAAGGGTCAAATTACTTTTACGAACAACACGTATTTTAACTCTCGATTTAACAATTAAATGCTTACTTGCACACAATACAGAAAAATCCAAATTAAATAGACACATAAAAATAATACAGTACATTTAATAATAAAAAAGATGTAGAACTGAGAGCTGCAGCAGGCCTCTGGGTTTTTACATTTACAATTAACAATTTTAAACAGAGTAGATGAAACAGAGGTTAACATCACTGCAAGTCCTCACCTTCTTTTCAGAGTTCAACCATGAGGTGAATCCTCTGATGTCAACAAACTGCAGCCCGAAGTACCAAGTCTCACGCAGGCCGATGGTCCTGGAAACCTTCAGAGTGGAGACATGATAACAAAATCCTGCACATCTTCTCAACAGCTTCTTCACTTTTTAATCAAAACCTCCTCCATGACTCTTGCGGTAATTTCTCCCTGAAGAAAAAAACCTTTGGATAAGATTACAGAACTTTTAAATGAGAACGTTAAGCTTGTTTTTTTGATTTTTTTTTTTTTGTATCACAAAGGGGCTCATTAAACTGGCCAGCTTTTACCAGACTAGATCTGTGGGACAGCTATGGTTACTAGTTGCTTTGCTGATGGAATAAAATACCCACTGGTTACAGTTAAGACCATTTATCTGCAAAACAAATACCAACGCGAGTGTATCTGACTGAAAGTATTTCTCTGCTGAAGTATTTCAAAGGTCTGTACTGTATTTACACTGTTGTATTTGCTGCTACTTGGCGTTAATCCATCACTTTGCCAGTCCATTTTATTTATTTATTTTAAATGCATGAAAGACTTCTCAAAAGAAAGAAAGAAACAGAAACTTTTCAGTCTACATAAAGTCATCCGGGATCTATAAAATAATACAGGATGTGCTTTGTGAACTGCATCACACCGACCTGGTCAAAGAGCTGCTTCCCTGTTGTGTTGGGGTGGAAGGAGAACTCCAGCTCCGCGTCCATTGTGGTGACGCGGACATTGACCTGCAACATAAAGGTCATTTAGTCACGTGATGACAGAGATTTCTTTTTGTATACACATGAATCATATTTGCAAACAATCAGCTTCCTTTTCTCAGAGAATCTGTAACCGGGCAGAAATATTTTACTGTGATCTTATTATTAGTTTGCAGCGATCAGCGATCAGCCTGGAAACATAAAGATATTGTAGTCATATGTGTGAAGGAGCTGTGAAGTGGATTATTCATAAACCATAATTGCTCACTATCTCATTAGACTTCGGACTACTCTTGCAAGGTTACACAAGGTTGCACATACGCAGATTACAATGCTTGCAGAGTTGACTTTACCGTTGTTAGTCAAGATCAGCCTGTTTTATAACAACAACGATTAAAGTGGAAAAGAAATGACACTTTAAAATGTCTATAGAGCAGATGTTCAACATAAAAAAAACACACTAAAGCACCCAGGCTGTTCTCAACACACGGACCCTGATCACAGGCCAGATTGGGCTTGTAGCAGTTACACAATTGTTTTATGAAGTTATACTACAGCACGCCCCGGGTGTCATAAAGATAATCCCATCGAAACTTGAGCAGCAAAAGCTGGAACATCCATTTGTGAAACCTCTAACGTGTTACTCAACTGTTACCACCTCCAGTGATGGCATGCATAAGGTAATAGCTCAACTCGCTGACATCCTGCAGGTGTTTCCTACCTGCCACAACCTTAATCGCTCACTAATCACTGACTGTGGACATCACTGATGAATCATTAATCCATTAGACTCAGTCACCAGTTTATACCGTTGAGCTATGTAGGATTATCTTAATTTGTTTATACTTGGATTGTGCTTTTTGGTACTGTCGCACCTCTTTTGTTTAGCTGTTCAAAAAACGTTTTCCACAACGCAAACAACACCTGCAACTATGACTCATAATTTTATTTGATTTGTAGTTAGTTTAAGGTCAGTCAAATGGACGTAGACGTCAGAATGACCTCTTAAGAGAGGCTTTCTCCTTGCAGTGTCAATATAAGCACAGAGCTGCTTTCGTAATGCACAGGCCAGTCGTTCTTATCAGTTTTCCGACAGACTGATGGTGAAAGCTTAAGTAACTGCGGACATTTAGAACATGAGAGTTTTCTTTGTTTAAGACAGAGGTCTCTTGTTTGGTGCAGGGTGCCTCAGAAAATCAAACGGAGCAGAGAAAAGCGGTTAAACTGTACAGTCATGAGTTCGTTCTTAGCATTTAAAAATCACTCCAGTGGCACTAAAGGGAATTACCATGATTGCAGTGCATTATGCATGCCCAGAGAAACAGCAGACAGGCTGGTTGCAGACCTGAAGTAGCATTTTTCTGTCAGGAATGTGAGCAGCATGGGTCAAACTCTACACTTAGTTAATGAGTAAATGCCAAGAAGGATCTTGGACTCTTGGAAACAAGAAGCTTGGCCAGATTGTTTATTTCTTTAAAAAAAAAAAAAGGACATTTAATTAGAAATTAAAGCTATTAAATCTGTATTTATGCAAGTAACTCTGAAATGTATCTAGTGGTCATTCTCAGCATAAGCAATTCAAAGAAACCACACAAATAAATGTATAAGCCCACCACTGACATTTTTGAATATGCAACAGGAAGAAACACTTCAGTGACATATAATCATTTAAATCGTGGTGATCCTACCGTTTTGGGCATCTTGGCTGCGGTTGGTGGATGAGTAGTACCAAGTGGTTCCCAGGTTGTCACAGGTTGCAGTGAACGTCTCCCAGCTGAACGTGCGCCTGATAAAGAGCGCAGCACCGCTCTCGCTCGAAAACTCCTGGGCAGGGCTCGTGCCCTTTGAACTCAGCAGATTACGCAGAGTGACGTGAGAGTTACTATCACAAAACTGAAAGATTTACTTCCAATGTGGCCACTGGCAGCGCAAGATGCGTAATTCCACCCAAAGACTATCACCTGCTTCAGCACCTTAAGTACTGCGACCTTTGATCAGAGCAAGCAAGACTATAAGGGGCCGGACGATCTATTTATGTCGCCTGTTTGGAGGTGACAGCAGAGAGGGCTGTCATAAAGAGATCGTGTCAAGGTAACACAGTTGTGTGTGGTAGAACACGGATGAGACCAACAAAAGATTAGAACATTTTCAGACTTTAATGAGAATTGTAGACGAACAAGTTGAATACATGTGGACCGATGAACACTAACAAAGCTGCAGATTTATTGTTTCCTAAACATAAATATTCCACTGAGTCATTCACATAATTCATTTAGTTTCACAGTAAAATACAGAGTTCAAAAAATGAATTGATTAGTGACAAAAATAATCAGCTACAGTCTCTCATTTATAAAAATAAAACAAAACACTGCAGCTACAGTGCATGAAGATTATTTTAAGTTTGGAAGGATCTTTGAGCTCCTAATGTTTAGAGTATGAAATTAAATGGCTTAGAGCACTGTGAGAGGAGCAGGAGGCATCTTGATCTGTGCTTAAACTTCTTTAAATGTGTCTCCGGGAGACCGTTAACTATCTGCATACTCTTACTCCAAAGTCCCCGCTTTTTATCTTAGTCAGATGATACAACAGGTATTAAAGTAGTTGGTGCACCGTAAACTGGTCAAAGCTATTAAAGCGCTATTTAATTCTCAATCTTGAGTCAACAGGATAATGCTTCTCCTATTATTGCACATGTATCAAACTTCTTCATCGCGATTCTTGTCAAGTAAAGTGACCACATGAAATTACATTAAAATTCATCTTTGATTTGAAAATGAGGCTGGTCCTCGGGTTTGAAGTCTTTGTTGGGACTTCCATCCTCGTTCAGGATACGGGATGCTGTGTAACCCACAATGGGATACTTGGCTTTGTAGGTGCCTTCAAATATACTGTCCAGAGACTTTAGCTGCTCTTCAGTGAGGCCTGTCTGTGGAGGTGAAGATAATTAAGGAACATTAATCAGTGCTTTTTTAATATATGTGTGTTTTTTAACCTTTGAGCATTCTGACTTGTGGAAAAGCTCGGAGACCTGTACCTGGGAAAAGGGGTGCGCTTTTTGGGAAAGCTATGCTTGCCTATTTGCCCCCTTTTATTTATTTCGTTTGCTAAGAGTTAGAAAGAAAGACTATTAGCACTTATGCAAAGAACATACTTAAAACAGCGAGATGATTACTTCAGTCTTTTACAATAAAAAGTGATCTAAATGAACTTTTACTTTAATAAAAGTTGATATAATCGCATTAGCACAGTGTCGTTTATGTTCCCTAAAAGATCCTATTTATTCACCTTAGTTTCACCTCATATTTTTCACACAGCTGTCAATACCTCACCTGCACCTGGGTCTGTGAAACTGTCCCTTTAAATGTATTTCCTATGAATCATAAGTTGTCTGAAATGTTCAAATGGTGACATTTTGTAAGGAAGTCTTGCATTTTTTCACCTTTTATGGCCTTTGGTGTTACAGAAACTTTGTGATTTATTGTTTTACTTGCTCCAGTCACTTTGCTTTTTAAAGTGTCTACACCGGGGGAAAATGTAGTCAGAGCATTAATGAACTATTGTACAATCCTGTCCAAAAGCCTTGAGCCACACCTCATCCTTTATCTTATGCTGGGAAAATGGGAAATTAGTGCAGTGATTTATTGAAATATGTTTCAGCTGAAACTCACAGTGTCTGATGTCAAGTCTGCGGGGTCCAGTGACATCTTGGCCACAGCTCGAGTGGAGTCCTTACCTACCAGCGCATTATATGGAGCATCTTTTCCATAAAACTCTGGAATGGGTGAAATAAAATGCACATTAAAATCAACGCGCTGACAGCAGAGACTAATAAGCAAATGACCCGAGTCAGGTTAGTTTATAGAGAAAGCCTTCTAATGTGTTAAATCACTTTTTATTAGAACTGACTTTAATGACCGATTTGAATCCAGGAGTTAGATAATGTTTTTTCTACATCTACCTTTTCCCTTGGTGACATCAAACACAACCCCTTTTACTGCCATATAAATAGGCTGGCCCTCCTATAATAGGAAAAGAAAGAGCGATGATAAATATAGATGACTCTTAACAAAAACAACAAAAAAAAAAAAATGCACGCACAAGTAGACACGCGAGTTCATTTTCAGCAGCACATGCCGGGATTTTATTTCTCCAACAGTTTACCTCGCTGCCGTCGTATCTCTGCAGCTCCTCCTCGGTGAATAAACGGACAGGTTTTGGAGCAGTTTTGTGTTTTACTTTAGCATCTTCCGCTAAAGCCACGGCGAGGATGATAAATAAGACACAAAATCGCGCTGTTGCCATGGCAAGGTCGTTGTTTAAACAAGAAGTTCAGGCGGAAACTTCTTCATCCACTTCCCTTTCAATGCCCAGGTACTCTCTGGTCGTGATGCATTTGAAAGCCTCGGAAATTTCACCGACATTATTTTAAACCAGTTCTCGCTGATATTTGTTTATATTCTGGACTATAAGCAATGAAGATGTGATTTTTGTGCATTTATTTGTCATTTGTATAGATTTTATTTAGACATAAATTTAAAAAAATGTCATAAATATCTTATGAAAAACATAACACCATAGTCAAGTTCATTTGAGTAAAAAATAAACTTGTAGGAATGGGGTGGCATTTCAGTAAAAATGCGGTTTCTTGTCGCAGTAGTATGTTGTTGTTTTTTTAGATAAATGAGTTTTCTCATAAGTACATGAACGCAGCATTAGGAATCAACCTAAGGTAACGAGCTAGGACACAAGGAAGCCACAACAAGGAAACAAGATCGCATTGAATCGCGGCCCATGGGTCCCCTGTTATTATCGTGGGTTGGGCCTTTATCTACTTCTCCAAAACCCCCAGGGGTGGGTGCTGGTGTCTTTTTTTTTTAAACTGTGAGACTTGAGCTCGGTGGAAAGAGGTGTTTTTAAACATGTCAGGTTTATTAGGAGCAATCTGCTGAGTTGGCACAAAAAGCTTGAAGAGCTGCTTTAGGTGAAGTCACTGGAAGTTCCGCAGAGGAATGCTCAGAAAAGGAAGGTCCCTCTCATACCAGGAGGTAAGTTACAAGTTCCTTCGTGTTTGTGTTTCACTCTGAAATCTTTCATGTTTGTCTCAGTAATCACAGGACTGCTACAGACTGTAGGCTTCTTTTTTTATTGTCTCTGAGGACAGCAGTAAAGTCTTTTTTCTCTCGCTGTGTCCATGCTCCTGTCGGGCGTATTTGGCATCATGTGACTGAGCAGCCGTTTCCTGACTTCATGTTTCCTTTGGGTTTCAGCTATAGTTGCAGTATTCATTTAGATTATTCGCCAGTTCTTATTTTAAGCTTTAAAATAGCTGCAGAAATGGCGTAAAACCTTTTAAAACCACTGGTCGGTATGGCCATTTTAAAGCCTCGCTTGCATTTGGAGCCAGCGCTGACTTGGTCATTAAGTTTGTGGTGCTGTCAGGTGTTTTCATTGTTTAGGCTCTCCTCACTGAAAGATGGTTTGGACATAATGTAAAACAGACAGTGTGATACTTTTTTTTTAAATGTGTATTTTTGTTGTTGTAAGTACATTTACCTTTAACTTATAACCACTGACCTTAAATATCAACACCAGATAAGTTAAACTGTTTTGTCATTGGAGTATTTGATTACAGGTCAGTGAAATGAAAGAAACAGTAATCATTGTTGTTGTGACTAAATGTCAGGTTTGTAGAAGGCAAAAGTAGTGAAATGTTACTGTTTTCTATATTTTGTAATTTCTTTTGAGACAGGGGGTCTTAAAAGAAGGGGTTAAAGTGGGATTTAACAGATTTAACAGATGTGGGAATCCGAAAATTATTTAAAGAAAATAATTACAAGATGTGAAAATTTGTACTGTGAGCTCGAGCGGATTTGTTTTGTGTGTGTGTGTGTGTGTGTGTGTGTGTGTGTGTGTGTGTGTGTGTGTGTAACCATGATCGGCTGACCTGTGTCCCTGCTTCTCTAATGTTCACTGCTCTTTGTGGACTTAACTGAACTAAGTCCTAAAACTAGACTTGAAAACAACATTTTAGTTAACAAAAATGAAAAACTAAACCAAATTAAGTAAAAAAGTAGAGGGAAAAATATTAAGCTTTAGTATCTGTTAGTTTGATAAAGTTTCAATAATAACTCGCCCAATGAGACATTGATGGACATCGACCAGCTGTGTCCAAAAATTTTGAGTCACTGCTTTCCCAAAGTTTTGGGTTTTTATTGAAATATCTGAGCTCATTTTCCTAAATCCTGCCTCTGACGCGTGCCCTCCATAGAGTAAGAATTAAAAAGATGAACTAATAGAACTAACTTTTAGAACTAATCCTGAAACTAGTAAAAACTAAAATAAAATTAAACATCTTCCAAAAATAAAAACTAAACTCACACAAGAAAATGTGCTGAGGAAACTAAAAACTAGTAAGTTAAAAAAAAATAAATAAATAAAAAAAGTCAAAATGGAAAAATAAAAACCAATTTGAAAATACGATACTATAATAACTCTGATATATACAGATCTGCTGTTTGATATAACCTGACATTGAGCATGAAAACTGCAACCTGTCAGCAAAAACAAACTGATGTTATATATGATATGAAAACATGTAACTATAACAGATGTTTACATACTACTAAAATATGACAAGTTAACATGTGGAAGATGAATACATTGCAACTAAAAGGTGTGGCGTTACTGAGAAGGGAACAATATACCAAAAACAATAGTGTATGTATGTGTGTATATATATATATATATTATATATATATTATATATATATTACATATATACATATATATATATATATACATACATATATATATATATATATATATATATATATATATATATATATATATATATATATATATATATACATAAAACTTACTGTCTTTCAGGTATTCACCCAATAAAGGACCACGAACTCAATAGGTTAAATGCCTTTCAGGCACCGCTACAGTCTGCACCTGTCCTGTTTAGTGGCTGCTCCATACCACAGGACAGACTCAATGACTGCAGTTTAGAACAGGATCAGCATCTCCTGTGGAAGATTATACTTCCCCAGAAGGGGCCGAGTGAATTCTGAGGTGTTCAGAGACATTCAGTCTGCTTAAATCCAGCTAAATGCAGCCAACTGTTTCACAACACAGACGGACAATGACCTAAAACATGGATCCAAAACAAACCTTTATTTTGTTTATTGAAGCAAAGAAGTGGACAAGTGGATTATTTTTGTTGAGGACTAAACTTCAGACAGAAAGGCCCACATACAAACAGCAACCGAAAGTGGCTCCAGTAAAGGCCTCAAAGCATTAAAAAGGAGGAAACCCAGCAATCTGATGTTGTCCATGAGTTCAAAACTTTAGGCCGTCATTGCCAGCAAAGGGTTTTGTATTAGGTTTGATTCATCATTAACTGAAGATCTCAGAGTGCTATTCCACTCCACTTAAAATGGATACAAATGTGACCCCACCTTAGTAATTGTTAGGATTTTAAGTATAGTTTTACTATACTTGTAACCAGAAATAGGTGTTTAAATGTTCTTTTTTTAACCCTACAGTTCAATGATGAGGATGATGAAGGGGGGGGAGATGAAGATGAAGGCAACGCACCGTCTCCAGTCTTTTTTGATGATGCCACTGAAGACCCGGAGCATGAGAAGCCTGATAGCAGCATCTCACAAAGTAGTAGGAGACGTGTTTCTGCACCACATGCTGGACACTCATTACACTGATATATTTTTTATTGGTCCACGCTTTTGTGGCATGTAATTGGATTTGTCCACTCAGATTCCTGTCTTTACCCCTTTGTCCCTACAGCACAGGATGACGTTAGGGGGCCCAATCCACCTATGAGATTCAGTAAAACCTGTCTGAAGAATTTCTTCACGGTGGTGCTCATCTTCATCTACCTGCTGCTGACTGCGGTGGCAGCATTCCTGGCCTACCAGACGATCTCTGACTTCTTGGAGAAACTTAACAACCCCGTTATGTCCGTCATTTACAAAGAGGTTGACTCATTTTCATCTCCTGGTTAGTATGAATGATACACTTTTTGGGGCATATTTTAGGACTATGACTGGGTTAGTGGGTGTTAAGTGTGCTGTTATGTCCAAAACATAGAACAACAGGTAACTCATTTCATCCAGAAAATACAGATTGCACTACACAGCAGCACTTCATATTTTTTTTATAAGCATTTAAATCTGCCTTTATCAGCATTTAGCAGGAACACATGCTCTTCATGTAGTGGTTGTCGTGGCACTAGATGGAATAGTATCTGAGTATACAAGGGGATATAGCTGATTAACCATGCCATTAAGATATGGGACAGAGATTTTGAAGCTAAGTGAGCAGCTGAATGTCTTCATGAAGAGAAAGAGCACTACAGATGGCCTGTATTTATATAGCGCTTTACTAGTCCCTAAGGACCCCAAAGCGCTTTACATATCCAGTCATCCACCCATTCACACACACATTCACACACTGGTGATGGCAAGCTACATTGTAGCCACAGCCACCCTGGGGCGCACTGACAGAGGCGAGGCTGCCGGACACTGGCGCCACCGGGCCCTCTGACCACCACCAGTAGGCAACGGGTGAAGTGTCTTGCCCAAGGACACAACGACCGAGACTGTCCAAGCCGGGGCTCGAACCGGCAACCTTCCGATTACAAGGCGAACTCCCAACTCTTGAGCCACGATCGCCCAGAATGGGATGTTTGCTTTGAGAGTGTCGATGGAGAAATATAGAGACGGTCAGAAGGAGTTTCAGTGTTTCTGTGGATCAAGAGAAAGCATTTGATAATGGAGAGGAGTGTCAAAGGTGATTTGCAATCGAAGGATAGCAGCACTAGAGAAAGGAAAGGTTTACAAGATAGTAGTGAGACCTGCTATGATGTATGATTTTGAGATAGGAGGCAGAGCTGGAGTTGTCAGAGTTGAGAGGTTAAAATGTTCAATGGGAGTGACCAGTGTGGACAAGATTAGAAATGAGTCCATCAGAGAACCAGCTCAGGTTGAGCAGGATGGTGGATATAGCTGCCAGGCAGGAGGAGAAGAGAAAGACCACAGAGGAGGCTCATGGATGTAGTGAAAAGGACATGCAGAGGGTTTGTGTGACAGAGGAGGATGCTGGGGATGGGGTGAGATGGAGCCAGATGATCCACCCTGGCAAAGATTTTAGAAATGAATACTTCTTTGCTCCTTTTCATTATCACACCTGGCCTGTTTTCTATCGCGATAAACCCCAAATTATTGTTGGTGACAAAATACTCAATAATTGAATAACACTGTGACAGAAGGCAGGCGCTAGTTATGTGTGAATAATTTGTATTGCCTGCTGTGTGGCCACCAGAGGGTGTATTAAATCTGAAA